AAAAAAAAAAAAAAAGAAAAGAAGCCTGGGAATATAGCGCAGTGGAGGTGTGCATGTTTAGTCTGCATGCTCCCTAGATTCTATCCCTATCATACTCAAAAACATTATTGTAATTAAGAACTGAACCTGAAACCCACTGGTGGTCACCCACGCCTTTAATCCCAGCACTAGGGAGGCAGAGGCAGGCCGATCTCTTAGTTTGAGGCCAGTCAGGGCTACAGAAGGAGTTCCCCCGACAACCAGGGTTACACAGAGAAACGCTTATCTCGAAGACAACAAACAGAGAACAGAACCTTAAAAGCAGAGGTGGTGGCAGAGATCTGTAACCTCCAGCACTTGGGTATCTGAGGCAGGAGGATCACAGTTGGTGGCCAGCTTGGGTTACCATAGGAAGTTCCAGGCCAGCCTCAGCCACAAAGAAAGCTTTTGTCTAAAGAAAGAAAAACAACCTACAAGCAGCTAAGTACCTGGCCTGGTGTTCCACACCTTTTGAATTCCAACACTCAGGAGGCAGAGGCCAGGGATCTCTATGAGTTAAAGATCTATGCTTGTTCTACATAGCAAGTTCTAGGCCAGCCAGGGCTACAGAATGTGACTCTACCTCAAAACAACAATAACAAAAACAAACAGCAGCAACAAAAGCCCAGTGTGATATTTTAGACTTGTAATCTCAGCTCGTGGGAGGGAGACTGAACTGGAAGATCTGGACAAAACAAAATAAATCTATGGACTTACCTTGAAAGTTGTGGCTGTGTGACCCATGACAAGTAGCTTTCCATTTCCGAATCTCACATTTTTCACCTGTAAAGTGAGACATGATTGTCGAGGCGAGGGATATAACCCTTGTAAACTGCTTAGCAGTGTTTAGTAAGTTCATAGCAAACATTAGTAGGAAATTGTCATTAACATGAGCTTCTAGGTCAATGGTTCTCAATCTGTGGGTCGTAATCCCTTTAGGAGGTCAAATGACCCTTCCACAGGGGTTGCCAAAGACCATTGGAAAACAGATATTTACATTACTATTCGTGACAGTTATGGAGTAGCAATGGAAAGAAGTCCATGGTGGGTGGTCACCACACGAGAAACTGTACTAAGGTCCTTCATCTCCCTGTCTGCAGATTCGCCCCTTCTACATCGTCCTATTTTGGGGTCACTCTTCCGTCCCTCAATTCCATCACATTTCTAGGCTTTTCCTTCGCTTTATCATTCCTTTCCTCTCTACTGGCAAATTTAAAATCGTATAGGACAGCTGGGCGGTGGTGGCGCACGCCTTTAATCCCAGCACTCGGGAGGCAGAGGCAGGCGGATCTCTGTGAGTTTGAGGCCAGCCTGGGCTACCAAGTGAGCTCCAGGAAAGGCTCAAAACTATGCAGAGAAACCCTGTCTCGAAAAACCAAAAAATAAAAAAAAATAAAAAATCGTATAGGACAATGAAGTGCTCCCAAACACCCGTTCTTCTCTTTCTAGACACAGCTTCCGTACTCATGGAAAGGATGTCTCCTAGAGCCTCTGAAATAGTTCCAAATTCAAATAGTCTGTGTTGTCAAGACTGGGTCAACTTTTGTTCTCATTGTTTGTTCTGAAAATACAGTTCTGAAATATAGCACTCTTACAATTCTATGCTAATACTTGTTAATTTTATTCCAGTGACTTATGGTTCTGTCCCCATTTGTTTGTGATCTTTTGATTTCTTTGTTTGTTTTGTTGTTGTTTTTGAAACGGGGTATCACTGTGTAGTTCTGGATGTCCTAGAACTCTCTCTGCTGGCTTCAAACTGACAGAGGTCTGCCTGCCTCTGTGCTGGAGTTAGAGGTGTGTACCACTACAACTGACTTGTTTTGTTTTCTTAATATAGGGTCTCATGTAACTCCAGCTGCCCTCCAAATCCCCTTACAGCTGAGGCAGGCCTTAAACGCCTGATCATTCGACTTCCATCTCCTAACTGCTGGGATTGTAGGTGTGTGATACCATTCTTGATTTTTGTTTTGTTTTGTTTTTCAAGACAGGGTTTCTCTGTGTAGCCCTGGCTGTCCTGGAACTCGCTCTGTAGACCAGGCTGGCCTCGAACTCAAAGATACAACATCTGCCTCTGCCTCAGGAGTACTGAAATTAAAGGCATGTACCACCGTCTGGTCCATTCTTGACTCTTTTTTTTTTTTAAAGAATACATTTAAATTTTTTATTACATTTTAAAAACTGTGTGTTTGTATTCATGTGTGTGAGCACATGCCACTGTACTGGTGTGGAGGTCAGAAGACAATTTGCAGGGATTGGCTCTCTCTTTTTACTATGTGGAACCTGGGGCTCAAAGTCAGGTCATTAGGCTTGATGGCAAGCATCTCTACCTATTGAGTTTTGTTTTTTGAGATAGGGTCTCATTATGTAATCCAAGCTAGCTTAGAACTCAGTAGTAACCCAGCCAGTCTTGAACTGCTCTGCCTTGGTCTTTTGATTGTTTCATGCTATGTTGAAGGGAGATTTTTTTTTCCTTTCTGCTGTTTTTCCCCCTCTTCATTGCTGGGAATTGAACCCAAGGCCTCAGGAATACTGAGGAAGCACTCACCTACTGAGGTACATTCCAAGTGAGGATCAGGGGTGTATCTGTTCTATACTAGGAATTCTGCGTGCCTGGGGTAAAGCTGGGGCTAGGTAATTAATGAAAGGCTAAATAAATAAATAAGGTACTCGTTCTTTTACTGTTTTTTTTTCTAGTGCCAGTGATTAAATTCAGGGTCTTGTACAAGATAGGTAAGCTCTCTGCCACTGAATTACATCCCTAGCCCCCAAAGGTGCTTTGATAAAGCACGTTCACAGGCACTCAACACTGAATGGGTGGCCCTGCTTTGAGGTCACCGGATTGCCTGCCTCCTGAAAGTATGTATTGGTGAACTCCCTTTTCCATTTCCTCAGGAGCACCGAGCCCACGCATTCTGCTCTGCCTTGCTTCCACACCTCGCCACATCACCCCAGTTCTGCTATGCCAGGAATGTTACTAGGGAAGAGTATCACCATGATTCAGAGGACATCTCAGGGATTGAGTAGGAGCTTGGGCAGAGAGATTTAGGGATAAACGTGCTTCTTAAACATTCCTAGCTCTCCTTTTTGTAAGATAAAGACATGCTTTTTTGCGTATTGCCTAGGCTGTTCTGGAAATCAAGATTTTTCTCCCTTAACTTTCTGAGTTTCTCTCTAGCTACTTTCTGAGTAGCTAGGACCTCAGTCATGTACCACCACACCCAAATTTTTAAACAATAATTATATTATTGTTATTACTATTTTAAGACAAGGTCTCACCATGTAACTCTGGCTGTCCTGGAACTGGCTTTGTAGACCAGGCTGGCCTTCAACTCACAGAGATTAGCCTGCCTTTGCCTCCTAGTGCTGGGATTAAAAGGCTTGCACCACCACTGCCCTGCTGGATCAATCCCCTTATCCCACCTTAGTGACTCAGGGATAGAACTTGGGTCATCAGGCTTGGTACTTTTATCTGATGAGACATCTTGACAGTCCTCAGGCACCTGAAAGCCTTTTTTGAAAATATGGACAATTTATTCAACAGTATTTACCGAATACCTGTGAGACAGATCCTATGCCTCACACTGTCTAATTCAGAATTAGCACTGTGCTATTCAGCTGGGTGAAGGTTTTAGGTATAGCATAACATACAACACTTCGGTGCTACCGACTCACAGCGCTGTTTGTCTACTTTCAGTACCCAAGGGAGCACAAAGAATCCAGCAGATGGCAGTAAGGAAACAAATATTTTAGGTCTTGAAGGAAGAGGAAGAAATCTGAGGTTAATGAATGGGAGATGTTTGATTCTGGTCCTGGTTTCCCCTCGGATAAACATCTAGGTAGGTATCCAGGCCACCCTAGGGCCAATAATCTGAGGGTTGTTTTTCCATGCCTTTTTAAAATTCATGTCTCAAATAGTTATTGAGTGCCTTCCTTGTGCAAAGACGTGACAGGAGATGGACATACAAGAACGAAGCAGTCTTTGCTCTTCGGAAGCTCGGTTTGTTTGAAAAGGTCTTCACTAGGGCCCCCACAATGTTCACAGACACCACAGTTCTTTGCTAAACCTGGGCAGAGTTCATACGAAGATTAAGCTAGAGTGGAATTCCTGTTTCCCGTGCTTTTTGGAGTATAAATAATTAGCAGCTGAACACTAAGGAGGACTTTGGATCGGAGGAAGATTGTGTGATGCAGTCTGATCGAGTTCTGTAGTCGTTTTCACTGGTCTTTTAAACTTTGTTCTTCATGCATTTTTCTTACTTTTCTTGTTATTATATTGTTGACAAATCCCCATTGACTTATTTATCTAACATTTACATTTACTGAACTCTGTCACTGTGTCTAGCATTGTTTGAAGCAAACCAAACAGATCTCGTCTCATGTCTTGAGAAGGAAGGTCCCACGCGCCCGCACCCGTAAACAGTAAAGGCTGGAAGAACTCTTGGTGGTTGTGATGTTTTGTAGTACACAAGTGCTTGGCATCTCGGACTTGACACCAGAGCTGCGTCCTGGGTCCTTTCCAGGGCTGTCATCTGAAGCGCCCGGTCCTCCCGGGTCCAGCTGATTCTCAACCAGGATGCACAGCAAGCTGAAACGCCACACGGTCCAAGATACGAACCCACATTGGCCTACCGAGCCACCGTAGGACACACGGCCTTCCGCCTGTGGATTCCTCGGGGGCGGGGTGACGCGCGCCCGTCACGTGACCCGAGGCCGCCTCGGGATTGGCTCTGCGTCTCTCCGGCTCGACGGGACGCAGCCGTGAGAAGGTGGGGCGCAGGCGCAGTCCCGGGGTTTCCTTGGCCGCCCACCCTGAGCGGAGCGGTGGAGTTGGCGATAAACAGGCTGTGGCCGGGGAGGCGGGGGAGGGGGGCGCCGGCTTCCAGGAGGGCTCCTGCCGCCTGCTGTCCCCCTTTGCGGGTGTTTGAGCGGGGCCGCGGGGCCGCCGCCTCGGGAGAGAAGGGAGCTTGGGCGGGGAGCAGTTAGGTTGCTAGGAGGGTGGACGACGGGAGCTCTCCCCCATGCCGGGCCGGTGGTGCGGCCCTGAGCCGGTCCCGCAGCCCGAACGACGCCCGTGAGAAGCCCGCGCGGAACGCGGGTTCCGTGGAGAGACGTGGGGAGGATTCGATTCCGAGAAAAGGAAGAGCCGACTCGAGAGGGAGCGAGGCCGCTGTCGGGGAGGGGGCTGCCAAGATGGCGTCCGCCTCCTCTGGGCCAGCGGCGGCCGGGTTTTCACCCCTGGAGCCCGGGGTCCCTGCCGGTACCTCAGGTGAGCCAGCCGGGTGGGGGAGACTGTGAGATGGGAGCAGGAGCGAGTCCTGGGGAGGGGGACCCGTCGCCGGGGGTGCCCGAGTGGTGGCCCCTGACTGAGCGGACCCTGAAGGAGGGGACAGTTTTGAGAGATCTAGAGGAGTTTGGGGGGGAGGGTGGGCGTCACCGGGAGGAGAGAAGCGGACAGACACACTCACACTGTGTCCTAGAGGCCCTTGAGAACTTTGAGGGGGAGGGATGGAGCGTGGAGGTTGGAGGTAAGAGGGGGACGATGAGGACAGGAGCGGGGAAACTGAGCCCGTGAGGCTGGGGGCCCAGCTTAGAGGTGGAGGGCTCGGCCAGCGTGCATCAGGCCCAGGCTTCAACCCCCAGGGTCTTCATTCAGAGATACTAACGTAAGTGGAGTATTGGTAGGTGGAGGCTAGATGGATCGTGGAATTAATGGATCAAGACGTTGAGGAGGTTATGGGACCTAAAAGTGTTAAGAGTCACGGGGTGCTTTTGGCTGCTGAGGAATTAGGGAATTGTGTTTTATTGGGAGTAAGAGTTACTGGAGTGGCCTTTCCCCTCAGACTACCCCTAATGCGTCATTCCTCCTCCCCTCAAGTCTTGTCCGCCGCAGCGCGGACACGCATATTTTCTCAGATTAACTCTTTTGGTGATTCCTAGCCTTGGGAAAGAATGGGGAGTTTTGTTGTTTTGTATTTTGGGGCAGGCACTTCCTCTGTCTTCCTGACCGGCTTGAGATCCCTAATGCTGGGATTACAGGAGTGTACCACAGCCAGCACAGAAGAAAGACTTCCAAGTGTCTAAAAGATGGGTGGTGGTGGTGGTGGTGGTAAAGGTCAGAAGACCCTAAAGGGGGAGGAGAAATGAGATGGAGGCTTGCATTGTAGAGGAGCCCTAGTTAGGCCTGTAGTTAGGCCTCAGAAAGAAAGATGGGGAGGGGCGTGTGTGACTCCTTGTGCTGTGAGGGAATATTGCATAATCGGATATGGACTGGAGGAATGCTTACCATGATGTATGAAGAAATTGCAAGGGAACTGGGCAGTGTAGAGAGGTCAGGGTCGTTAGAGATTGATGGAGATTGGGGGCTGGAAAGGCCCACAAAGGAAAGCCACAGATTGTGTGTAGGAGGGAAGCTGTGTATGGGAGGTGAATCAGAAGCTGTTCTAGAGGCTCTGTCAGGAGTGCCAGTGTTCCTCAGTAACTGTTGCCTGAGAAGCTGGGTATTAGATGCTTTTCTTGAGAGGTGATTTTTTCTTAGGCCTGGGATTTTGCCCTTACCATTTTGAATGGGCTTGAGTTCCACCTTAAACATTCCAGCTTAGACAGGAAACATAGTCATAGATACCTTCTTCATAACCTGCAATTTTATTTATGTGCCTCTATTTTTAGTTTCTTGGAGAGGTGGCTTTTGCCTTTCCTCTAAAAGCATTAGAGAGCCATAACAATTCTTGTTGCTTTATAAACATGAAAAAGGATAATGTTTATTAAAGTGACAGTTTTCCTTTTAATTTACTTATTTGATTTTCTTTTCTTTTTCTTTTTCTTTTCTTTTTTTTTTTTTGTAGCTTTGCGCCTTTTCTGGAACTCACTCTGTAGCCCAGGCGGGCCTCGAACTCACAGAGATCCACCTGGCTCTGCCTCTGAGCTCTGGGATTAAAGGTGTGCGCCATCATCACCTGGCTTAGTTGATTATTTTTCTATTGTATGTATGTGCATAATATGTGTGAGCGTGTGTGTCAGAGGCTGGTTTCCTCCTTCCACGTTTATGAGAGTTCTGGTTCTTGAATCAGGTCATCAGGCCTGTCTACAGCAAGCACCATTGCCAGCTGAACCATCCCTCCTACTCAGGTGACTTTCTTTTTAATGCAGTGGCTTCTTATTTGAAATTCTTAAGTATTTCCTAGCCAGGCATTCTTCTTTTTTCTTTTCTTTTTTCCCTCAAGGCAGTGTTCCTCTCTGTAGCTCTGGCTGGCCTCAAACTTAAGATAGATCAGCCTGCCTGGCTGGCTTCCAGGCATTCTTGTGAGTGATATTTAAGCAAGCGTCCCACCTATCAAGTTGGGTAGTATCTCTGCTAAAAAGCAAGTTAATCTTTCCCCCCTCACTTCTTTTTTAAAAAGATTTTTTTAGTGTCTGGCATGGCGTCACATGCTTTTAATCCCAGCATAGGGGAGGCAGAGGTAGGAGGATCTCTGGTAGAAGCCAGTCTGGTCTATATAGCAAGTTCTAAGATAGCCAGGACTACATAGATCTTGTCTCAAAAAAACAAAAAGAAAAAAATTGTATATGTGTCTGTCACTTTGTGTGTGAGTGCCCTTAGAGAACAAAGAGAGGCCTGCATCCCCTGGAGCTGAAGTTCATACAGTTGTGAGCACTTGACAAGGATGACTTGAACTTGAAATCCTTTGGAAAAGAAGAGCAAATACCCTTTTTGTTTTGAGACAGGGACTAGAACTTGATGTGTAGACCAGGCTGGCCTTGAACTCACAGAGAGATCCATCTGCTTCTGCTTCCTGATGCTGATATCAAAGGTGTGCCTCAAACTCATCATATAGCACATGAGCTTGAACTCTTTAGCTTTCCCTCTCTACCTTGTAGGTGCTAGAATTATAGGCCTATTTCACCACAACACACCTAACTTATATTAATTACTTTTCACATTTTTTCTTGTTTTATTTTTGAGGCAGGATCTCTCAATGTAGTCTTTCCTGGCTACTCAACATATAGAGCAGGTTGGCCTCAAACTCATGAGATCCTCCTGCTTCTGCCTCTCAAGTGCCGGGATTACAGGTGTGCCTCACCACACTGGGCAAACCATAAGCTCTGAAATGATATTAACCATCTTTTCCATTGGAGTTGTTACCATGTTTGAATCTGGAGGAGGAGTCAATTATAAATGAATTGTCAGTGGGCGGTGGGTGGTGGCGAACGCCTTTAATCCCAGCACTTGGGAGACAGAGGCAGGCAGATCTCTGTGAGTTGGAGGCCAGCCTGGTCTACAGAGTGAGATCTGTAGGAAAGGAGCAAAGCTACACAGAGAAACCTTGTCTCAAAAAACCTAAAACAAACAAACAAACAAACAAACAAATAAATAGTCATCATAAAAGTAACCATCCTGTGCTTTTCCTTATGCTTTGATTGGTAATAAATGATGATGTAGTTTGCCACTTGGGTTCTGCTGTTTGGTGCATAAAAGAATGTATCCGTTTCCTTTGTTTTTCCCATCTTCTTTATTTGGACAATGGCACCCACTTAATAAAATCAGCCCTGGTGAAGTACTGTTGACGACCATCTATTCAGGATTCTGAGATCCTGGTTTTCTGTTCTCTTCTGTCAATTAATAACTTAAAATTCAAGTCGTCAAGTTCAGCTTTTACTAGAAATGAGAGCCAAGAGTTTCTGTTTGGAGTGTGTGTTTGTTGTTATTTTGAGACAGGGTCTGACGGTGCTGTCTTGGTTGGTCTAGAATTCTCTGTGTAGACCATGCTATTCTGGAACTCAGAGGACTAAAGGTGTACGACATCACACCCAGCTATTTGGAGTCTTGATTTGAAATCAAAGTAGAAGTTACAAGGGCAGTTAAATGTCAAGATGTACATTGCTCCACTGAAATAAAAACTGATCAAAATCACATTTGCCTCCCCAAAGGAAAGGCCTTTGAAACCTCAGATGATCTTCAGCTGTAGTTCCTTCTGAAATAGTCACCCCTTGCTCATCTGTTGGGTTTTCTCAGACCCATAAATGATTTGGGAATAACCCCACAGCTCCTATACTCACCCTACCTACCTAGCTTTTTGTTTTGTTTTGTTTTCTTTTGTAGACCAGGCTGGCCTTAACCTCGGAAATCTGCCTGCCTCTGACTTCCAAGTGCTGGAATTAAAGTTGTGTATCACTACACTTGGCAAGCTAGTTGTTGTTGTTTTTCCTTTCTTTCCTTTCAATTTTCATTGGTGTTTTTCCTGCATGTATGTCTGTGTGAGGGTGTCAGGTCCCCTAGAACTGGAGCCACAGACAGTTCTGAGCCATCATGTGGGTGCTGAGAATTGAACCTGGGTCCTCTTGAAGAGTAGTCAGTGCTCTTAACCACTGAACCATCTTTCCAGCCCCAGCTAGCTGTTTTTTGAGGCAAGGTTTGCTGTATAGCTCTGGCTTGTCAGATAGGGTTATAGTCCCACACCTGCGGTTCTTCAGATTTCTTGTTTGCTTTTTGCTTTGTTTTTGTTCTAATCGGCATGAGCTACCATATGTGTTTCATCAGGCCTACTTTCTTCTGCTTTTAAAATTTTAATATATATATTTTTTATTTTGAGAGTGAAGGTATGTACGCATGTATATGCTAAGTGGAAGCTAGAGAACAACTTACAGGTACTGTTTTTTCTCCTTCGGTCATGTGGGTCCTCAGACTTCCTGTGTACTTGGTGACAAATGCTCTTACCCACTGAGCCATCCTGCCAGCCTAATCTCCCTACTACTTTTTAAACCACAACAAAGAACATCAGGTCTTACTGGACTGGCCCTGGACTCCAGGGACTTCAGTCAATCCTTCTGCCTTAGACTGCTTTAGTTACTAGCTGATATACAGGTACATTCAATTCAACCACACTTGGCTCTTCAGAGTATCATTGTTTTTTGTTTAAATATATTTATTTATTTATAATAAATATAAATTTATTTTATTATATGTTTAAGCTCAGTGTCAGGTATAATTACAGTTTGTTTTGTAGTTGTCTAGTATCTGAGATTAGTTGATATGTATACTTTAAAGTTAGCTTTGAGTGTCAAAATGGTATGTTTTACTTGTTGCTGTCTGTGGACTCCTGGGTTGATACTAACTCTTCTGATTAATACCTTTGCTGAAATATATGCTACCTGAAAACTATAAAATGTTTTATTAGCTTGTTTTTTCTTTGATCATATAATGGAAACTACTGCCTGTGGTATGAACAGAGATAACAAGAATCAGAGCTGGGGGGGCTGGAGAGATGGCTC